CATCCTAACGGAATGTGTCAAATTTAATGATGTTCGTAAGAAATATTTTAAGTGTACAAATATCAAAACCTTTTTCGACATTGTAGACCCTAGAAAATTTTTAAGTTATGTAAAATAAATTGGACTATTTAATAGAATATGAATATATATAGTTATCGTTATCGGTGTATATATACATACACTGAAATTAATAGTGTATATACAAATGTAAAAAAGTCTTTCCCATATTTACCATAAATTTCCATAAATGTCTGTCCGTCTTTTTAGCATAATGAAAATAGTGTGACCGTGTGCGGTTGAGATCTCCGAAAGACTTTTACTAAAAACACGTCTGATTTTGTTGCAGTGAAACCTGTTGGCGCTTAAATGACCAAAATTGTGTCGATAGTGCCGTAAAACGTCTACTCAATCAAAACCCCAACCCTTTCTTTCTATCTTCACTGAAAATTTTATCAAGCTTTCTTTTATTTCTTTCCTCCCTTTCCACCACACCCAATAACAATGAACAGGCAAACAAAGCTAAAAGAAAAAAAAAGAAAAAACCGAAAGAAAGAAAATCCCAAACCGCATTAATTCTCTCTCTCTATCTCTGTCTTTTTGTCTCTCTGTCTCTCGGTCTCTAGGTCTCTCGTTCTCTCTCTCTCTCTCTCTCTCTCTCTCTCTCTCTCTCTCTCCCCCCCCCCATCTCCCATCTATCTATCTACCTATCCATCTTTGTCTCACTCTCTGTTTCTTACTCTTTCTTTTATACACTCTCTCGCTGCTACCCCCTTTCTTTCTTTCTTTCTTTCTTCTTTCTTTCTTTCTTTCTGCCTTTTTTATTTCGTACTCAAACTTCTGTAGTTTTTCACTAGGTTTCAATACGGTTATGTATATTTATTTAACAGAAAGGAAAGCGAACTTTTATCACGTTTATGTTAGAATCTCAATCATAAACATTTTGTAAAAATGTTTGCCTACAGCGGATGGTTGTTAAATGCGAATAATATTATATATAATTTCTCACTTCATCATTTCTATCCCTCTGATATAGGGGGGGGGGTGCCAAAAATATTTTTCTGTCCCTCCCCTCTTACCTCTTCCACTCATCACAAAACATAAGTTGATGTGTTCCTCTTTGCTAATAAACCAAACGTATTGTATTCTATCCAGCTTGCAAATCTAACTGAAACTGGAATGGCACGGTTTCTCTTCATTTCTATTTCGAGTTCAGTAGCCATCAGCTACCATCAAGGAGTTTTGTGGCGGGTAGCCTGAGCTGGATCTAAGTAGTGGGAGGAAAACAATTATAAGGGCACCACGGACAAATATAACCTTCTCAAATTATACGAGTATTGAACTATACCACAGAGATGATGGATGATTTGCTTGGAGTCTCAGGGTGCTTGAGAGCAAGTACTTCACTTTGAGGTTGGATTTTTTTTTCTTACTTCGCATTTCTATAACTTTTTTAATTTAAAATTTGTTTCTACATTTTAGGTTCTAATTTATTTGTAAGCAAGTTTTTCTTTCTGCTTTTTTAAAAACTTTACATTAGGATTGCTTTATTTTTTTGTGGGTTTGTATTCTTTTTGGTTTTTACTTTTTGTTTTTATTTGTTTGCTCTGTATTATTTCAAGGGGACTTTTTCTTTCTTTTTTAAGGTAGGCAAATAATTACAATTCATTTTAGACCTCTCAAACTCTGTACAAAGTTGAAGCTTGGGTAATCGAAAAGACGACGCCAGTGCGTGTAAACATTAGACGCTTTAAAAAGTGCAAGAAGAAAATAGAAAGCGCAAAGATTGATTAAATGACTATTTGAAAGCTGGGATTTCTTTTTAGAGAGACGTTAGCAGTTGCTGTCACTTCCTTTGAAAGAAAAAAGTAAAAAGAAGCTGAAGTACCAAAAAAAAAAAAAAAGATTAAAAACCTTTTTGCAAAGTTCCATTGAAAAGCATAGCTATGGTGGAGATTTTGTTTCACCAAATAGTGTTTCTTTGATGAAGTTGACTCTCGTTATCCATATTGATTTTGGACAATTTCGGAATTTCCCAGAGTCTGGCATTGATCCACAGACGTACAAGGTCGGTGGTGTCTGAGGCGAACTGGTTGCCGTTTTACGATGAAGACATGAATTTGGTTTCAACGAGAGGAAGACTTACTATTTACTTTATCAAATATCAGCGTCATCTGGCTTGGATATTTCTCCCACGCAGTCTGGAAAGGTTATGACAACTTGGTTCAAAGGATCCTGCGTGATTTGAGATTTGAATTATTATGTCTGTTGCCTGGTCGACATTTATTCTATTTTTGGCTGAACTGACTGTAGTTCTTCTTATTTGATTGATTGATTCATTGATTAATTGACTAATTGGTTATCTGATTAATCGATTTATTGGTGGTTGATTAGTTGATGGATGGATTGATGTTGGCTGATTAATTGTTTGGTTGTTTGGTTGAGTGGCTGGTTGTTTGTTCATTTGATTGGTTGGTTGGTTATGTGGGTAGTTGTTTGGGTGGTTGGTTGGTTGGTTGGTTGGTTGTTTAACGGTTTGTTTGTTAATGGATGAATGGATGGATGGTTGGTTGGTTGGTTTGTTGGCTCTTTACTAGTTTGCTTAGTTGGTTGAGTAGTTGGCTGATTGGTTGATTGATTGGTTAGTTGATTAATTGATTGATTCAATTGTTGATTGAATTATTGCTTTTTTATTTAAAGAATTTACCCATTACTTTTAAAGGAAATTGGAGCTATAACGTCTGTAACATATGGTCCAATGTACTTCATATTCATACATCGGGCATACATACTAGCACTAGATCAGCTTGTGAGGTCAAGGACTAATAAACCTCACCAGTGCGCCACTCAGCGAGGGTTTAGTGCTAAGGGAGACTTGTAATAATTGCAAATGGCTTCTGACCCCATAGACATAATTCAGGTCACTTTGGGGGGGGGGGTCA